ACAGTGGCCCTATGAGGCTGGAGACACCCTGATCCTGCCTGGCTCCCTACAGGAATGGACACACCGGGAATGGGACCAGGGCACAGGAATGCAGCCTGGAATGGGGTCATGGTGGCCAGAGACACCCCGATCTCAGATGGCTCCCTATGGGAATGGGCAAGTTGGGAGCAGGAGCAGGGCATGGGAATGCAGCCTGGATTGGGGTCACGGCGGCCTCAGTGGGACCAGGGATCCCAATCCTGTCCTGCTCCCTATGGGAACAGGCACCCCAGGAATGGTCCAGGGGGACACATCCCGGAATGCAGTCATGGTGGCCCCGTGAAGCAAGGGACACCCTGATCCCAGCCGTCTCCCTATGGAAATAGGCACCCCGGGAGCGGATTGGGGACATGGGGACGCAGCCCAGAATGGGGTCACGGTGGCCTCAGCAGGACTGGGGGGACCCACCCAGTCGGCTCCTTATAGGAAAGAGCTCCTTATGGGAGCGGATTGGGGACACAAGGATGCAGTCTGGAATGAGGTCACGGTGCCTGCATGAAGCCAGGGACACCCCAATCCCAGATGGCTCCCTGTAGGAACAGGCACCCCTGGAATGGGATGGGGACATGGGGACGCAGCCCAGAATGGGGTCACGATGCCCCTAGACCCTCCCATGGGCACAAGGACCCCAGAAAAAAGATGGGGGGGGAGGACACACAGTGGGGGGGCGCCCACAACCCCCCCTCCCCAGCCGCTGTCACTTGGAGCCACCCGCATCCCGGGGCAGCAATGGGGACAAGGAGCAAATGGAGGGGACAGGGAGCAAAGGAAGCGGATGGGGACCAAATGGAGGGGATAAGGGGCAAGTAAAGGGGACAAGGACCGAGTGAAGGGGACAGGGAGCAAGTGGAGGGGACAGGGAGCAGGCGGAGGGGACAGGGACCAAATGGAGGATACAGGGACGATATGAGGGGACAGGGACCGAGCAGAGAGGGCAGGGACCAAAGGGAAGGGACGGGGACCACATGGAGGGGACGGGGACCACATAGAGGGGATGGGGACCACATGGAGGGGACAAGGAGCAAACAGAGGGGATGGGGACCAAGTGGAGGGGACAAGGAGCAAGCGGAGGGGATGGGGACCAAATGGAAAGGACAAGGAGCAAGCGGAGGGGACAGGGAGCAAGCGGAGGGGACAGGGAGCAAACGGAGGGGACGAGGACCAAGCGGAGGGGACGGAGGGGGGTCCCCGCGGCGCGGCGAAGGATATGGCCACTCGGTGATCTTCTTGGCGTACTTCCTCACCACGTTGTCCTCGCCGAAGAGGAAGAGCGAGCGGTTGACGGTGAGGCAGTTCTGGCGCACGGGGATGGGGTTGTAGAGAGCCATGGTGCGGGCGCGCTGGGCCATCGACTGCTTGTACATCCTCTGCGGGCCGGGGGGGCCGCCGCGGG